TGCCCGAGGAAGTGAAAGAATCAAAGGAGAGCCCGAAAGAGATTTTTCAAACAGGACAAACCCCAGTGAGACCACCACTCGAGCCTACCTTACACAAATCCCCAAACCCATACAGACCTAGAATTCCATTTCCGAGCCGCCTTTTGGATGAGAAAGACCGTAGAATGATCCGGGACCTTCATGCAATGTTGGTTAAGACCAACGATGACCTATCACCTCCCGATGTGCTGAAGAAGGTTCCGGCCTATGCCCGATTCTTCAAGGAGGTGGCCTCGAGCAAGAAGAGGTTCGAAAATGGAGAGGAAGTGATTGTGGGTGAAGCGGCAAGTATCTTTCAGCATAACTTGCCGATGAAAGAAAAAGACCCCGGTGGCTTTGTGATCACAATGGCTTTCGGGAATGGTGAAGAGACCTCGGGCATGCTTGATCTAGGAGCGGGCATTAATCTTATGCCACTTTCAGTCTATCGTCGGCTCAGGCTTGGAGACTTGAAGCCCACCAGAATGCGCCTTCAGCTGGCTGATCGCTCTTTTCGCCAACCAGAGGGGATTGTAGAAGATGTGCTCGTCCGAGTGGAAAAGTTGATAGTTCCCGTGGATTTCGTTGTGCTCGATATGGGGAGCATACAAGAAAATGTGAAGCAGCACACCACTCTCCTAGGCCGACCCTTCATGGCCACTACTGGCACCGTAATTGATGTGAAGAAGGGGACGGTGAGCATGACCGTGTTAGGGGAGTCTGCCCTCATTACTGTTCGAGAGGCCCAGCCTGAGCCGCGGGCGAGTGTGGTTGAAGAGTGTGCTTACCTCAGGGCGATTGAGCAGCTGACCGAGGATGCGTGCATGCGAGAGCACGTTAAGAGGGCATTGCAGGATCGAGCTATAGATGAGAAGGAATGCCGAAGTGACCCCCAACCGAGTCCCCCTGAGCTGCCCCGATGCCAATGGGGTGAAAGATTTGACTTGACGAAGGCCCACCGCTGTTTGGGGCCTGACCACCTCCACCCTCC